CTTCCTTGTTTGCTCCACAGCAGCTTCTCTGGCCTTGCTCAGCCCAGAACCTGCCGTAGGGCCTTGCACCTGCAGTTTCCTCTGCTCACTGCTCTGCTTCGGAGGTGGCCTTCTCAGAGGCCCTCCCTGGCTCTTCTCCCTCAGTTGCAGCCCCCATTCTTCCTGTCCTTCCTGCTCTATGTCTCCTTAATACTTTCCACCATTGAACTCACCACACCTGCTACTTACTCCTCTTTTTTTTTATTTTTTGAGATGGAATTTCGCTCTTGTCACCCAGGCTGGAATGCAATGGTGCGATCTTGACTCACTGCCACCTCCGCCTCCTTAAGCGATTCTCCTGCCTCAGCCTCCCGGGTAGCTGGGATTACAGGCACCCACCACCACACCCAGTTAATTTTTGTATTTTTTTAGTAAAGATGGGATTTCACCTTGTTGGCCAGGCTGATCTCAAACTCCTGACCTCAGGTGATCTGGCTGCCTCAGCCTCCAAAAGTGCTGGGATTACAGGCGTGAGCCACCATGCCCTGCCACCTGCTACTTACTCCTCTTAGTGATGATCTCTTCCCCATAAAAGATGAGCCCAGGAGGGCTTTGCTTTCTGCACCTAACACATTTCTAGCACAGGGTGGGCACCTAATAAGTATCTATTGAATGAAAGAGTAAGAGGAAGTGAAGATAGCGTTGATGACTTTTTCAAGGATTTTAGTCAAAAAGAAGAGTAGGGAGATAGAGTAGTAGCTGGAGGGGTGTAAGGGGTCTGAGATGTTATGTATAATAAGTATTAACATGGCGAATTCGTATGCTCATCCAATGGAGAGGGAAACTGATGCTGGAAAGAGAGGAGCTGATTTAGCGGCAGAGGCCTCGAGAAGGTGGGAAGGAAGGGATTGGGGCAGGGAGAGGTCTTCCACGTAGAGGGATGAGTACAGATGCGGGGGTGGTGGGAGAATGAAAGTTCCCCTTTGGTTGCTTCTCTTAGTGAAATAAAAATCAGGGTTCTCTGCTGAATAGAAAGGATGTGCAAAGTGTGTACGGTAGTTTTTTCTGGGAGAGTGGGGGTCTGATGATGAGGAATAGGTAGTAGGAATGCCATGAAGTACTGGACACCAGGTAGTGATTGCAGTGACAGACCCAGGCACCTAAGCTGGTTAGTGAGCAGAGCACAGGGCCAGGAGCATTGCATGGTGGCTCATACCTGTCATCCCAGCCCTTTGGGAGGCCCAGGTAGGTGGATTGCTTGAGGTTAGGAGTTTCAGATTAGCCTGAGCAACATGACAAAACCCCGTGTCTATGAAAAATACAGAAATAAGCCAGGCCTGGTGGCGCATGCCTGTAATCTCAGCTACTTGGGAGGTTAAGGTGGGAGGTTGGCTTGAGCCTGGGAGGCAGAGGCTGTAGTGAGCCAAGATCATGTCACTGCACTCCAGCCTGGGCAACAGAGCCAGACCCTGACTAAAAAAAAAAAGCACAGCAAGAACATTGTAGGTTCGGGTGGGGCAGGACGGTTAGGAGAAAAGGGTCAGAGTCAGGGGTTTGCAGGAGGGTGGAAAGCAGTGGAGTCTGAAGGGTCCCAGTACGGAGGAAAGGAGTTGGAGAACCAGAGGTGTGAGCAGGAAAGATAGGAGGGGGTCAGAGAGTGCGGGGTTCAAAGCTGTCATTTGGGGGTAGGCATTGGGAATGACCATGTCTGGGGTGTTCCCTGGAAAGCAGGGAGCTGGGGTGCTGGGCAGGTGGTTGTTGATCCCTCACCTTCTGTCTGTGTGTTTGTAGCTTGCTTTGATCATGTCCGTGTTGGCATGTGCAGCTCTAGGCAGAAATTTCGGCTGTTACAATATTCCTTTGTATGAACCTACCACAGTATGTTTACCTGCAAATAGACATTCCAGTTCTTAGGTTGTACCATACGAAATAGCTGGTATTGGACCTTTTTTTTTTTTTTTGAGATGGAATCTTGCTCTTGTTGCCCAGGCTGGAGTGCAGTGGTGCAATCTCGGCTCACTGCAACCTCCGCCTCCCGGGGTTTAAGGGATTGCCTCAGCCTCCCAAGTAGCTGGGATTACAGGCACCCGCCACCATCCCTGGCTAATTTTGTATTTTTAGTAGATGTGTTGGTCAGGCTAGTCTGGAACTCCTGACTTCAGGGGATCTGCCCACCTCAGCCTCCCAAAGTGCTGGGATTACAGGCATGTGAGCCACCGTGCCCAGCCGATCAAAACATTTTTAAATAAATAAATTAAACTGTTAAGGGGCAGGAAAAAATGTCAAAATTAGGGCATGCTTTCAGATTTTAGAAATTCCTAGTGATAACTATCAACTGTAGCAGCATCTGCTGATGGGGCACCCTTACTGATAACACTGATTGAAATTCCATGGATGGGCCGGGCGCAGTGGCTCACGCCTGTAATCCCAGCACTTTGGGAGGCTGAGACGGACGGATCACCTGAGGTCAGTAGTTCAAGACCAGCCTGACCAACGTGGTGAAACACTGTCTCTACTAAAAACACAAAATATTAGCTGGGCATGGTGGTGGGTGCCTATAATCCCAACTACTTGGGAGGCTGAGGCAGGAGAATTGCTTGAACCCAGGAGGCGGAGATTGCAGTGAGCT